CTAAATGAGGTCGACCAGATCCTATATGAGGTTGACCGAATTCTAAACGAGGTCGACCTAATCCTAACTGAGGTCGACCGGAAAGTGCAAGTCACCGTGACATGCATGTCACCGTAGGCACACCCTAAAAAGTTATCTCTATATATAGTTAGGTATAAAAGAAAATTTACAAATTTAGCAAAATAAATACAAAAACCCAGCCCACAAACACTATAGGCATTCCCACAAGGCACAACCCTTGTGACGCTGACGATTGCAGATCTACCACTTGAAAGATCTCCATCATCACTTAATCTTTTATTGACAGCTCTCTATCATTCCTTGAGTAGCCACTGCTCGCTGAAAGATCTCCATCATTCCTTGATCTACAATCACAAAGATCTCCACCGTCCCAGTGCCACTTATCCACTTCTTTATTCTCTGCCTAGACTAACCACTGCAAGTCAGCTTAGTTCTACCGCAAACAATTACATAAGAAAAAGAAACGAACCAGCGACATTAAGAAAAACAGAATTAACATACGAGATCAGGTTTTCTTACCGCCAACACATCCCTACGGATAGCAAGAAGGATTATAGACGTAAATGGAACTATTCAATCACCGTTCAAACCCTCCAATCATTGTGGCCGACGCTACAGCTTTAAAAGCCGAGTTTGGAGCTAGGCATGGATGGATTTTAGCACTCGATTGAATTCATCAAGATTCTTACCTATAGAACGTGATATGAAGTGATAAATTCGTGGGTAACATAACGTCGATGTCATGCGGGTAGGATCATCGGCGCGGCTGGTTGTTGCCTCTGCTTCCGCTGGTGGCTCGTACTGCTGCTTTCGTGGATCAAGGGTTGGCCAAAGAAAGGGTGTTGATGATTTTGTTGATTGGTAATGCGTGAGGAGAGCAGAGGATGGTAAGGATCGTTTGGTCAACGGAAGCTCACGAGAGGACTTTGCTTTCGGCAGCTTCGGACTTGTGCGAATAGGAAGGGACATGGGGGTTTGTGGTGGCGGCTGCATTGTTTTAGGTTTAGGGTTGTTTTGTTATAGAGATCGAGAGGAAAGGAATTGGCCGCTTAGGAGCGTGAGTAGCAGGGTGTGTTTTTGAATTTGTTTTTCTTTTAATGGGGGACTTGGTGTTATATTACCTTTTTTTACTCTTTTTTCAAGATTCAACCTTTCTCGCAACTGTATCCTATTTTTATTGGTGTTTTCGATAATTTTTATCCTCCACCACTCGTGTGTATCCATTTTAATGGGTAATAATGGTGAGAACCATGATGATGAAATAATGGAAAAAGATCGCAAAGTTTAAGAGTTGATTTCAATGAAATTTTTTTGCACTTTGATCACATAACATAGCTTCAACTACTATATACATTCTAAAAATAAGTATCACATAAAAAATATATTTTCTTCTAACAACACAAATCAAATAAGGAGTCAGCTAATTTATCTAGAAAGTAGAAAGACCATTTTTAGAGAATCGGAATAACAATTTTTAAATTGACACAAAATTTCTACAAAAAATGAACTGTGACGAAAATTATTATCTTTATCGACTCGTATAGGTTCGGTCACAAATACACTGCTACTTGACGAAACATTACTGACAACAATGAGCTTAGCGACAAGGATTTTCTCCTTTATGGATGAGGTTAGCCATTGTCATAAATGCTCACCTAGTTGACGAAACATTACTGACGATAATGAAGCAGAGACAGATGACCTCCAATAGGAAGGTAATTAGCTCAACGATCCAGGTTGTAGAATCACAAGCACATTATCGAGCTTTGGTCCTAGGTTGTCCACCTCCTACCGAGAACCACAATCTACTCGACAAGCTCAAATGTCTTTGATGCCACGACCTCGTTCTTGTTGAGAATGTCTGGCTTAAAGAGGAAGTTTATCACCTACACTATGCTTACTAAGGATACCTAATTTTTTCCTGTAACACCACCCTCCTCAGCTATAGAGAAATCAAAAATTGAGCCAGAGAATTGCCTCCTATCGTGTCTCAAGGCAGATCACATCCTCTTCTTCTTCGTCTCACGAACTACAATCCAAATTTGATTCCAGGAATGACACAACCATCTACGAGTAGAGTAAGAGGGAGGACGATGAAAATGAGAGAGAGAGAGAGATAAATGGAGATGGTTTTCCGGCTTAGAGAATAGATGAAGAAAAAAAGAGTTTGTAGTGGTGGGTGAGATGGAAGAAGATGAAAAAATTGAGGTATTTCAAAATAGGTTAAGGGGATAAGCTATTTTGAAATCCTGCAAGTGAGGGTTTTTGAAATTTGATATCTTCAAAATAGTCATTTTGAGAGCCATTCCCAAACGAGTGATTTGGCCGAAATCCGACCAAATAAGAAATTTAGAAAAAAATTCCTAATTCAAAACCCTCGTCCAAACAAACTCTAGTAATTTTAGTATCGTCTTCATTCCTTCCTATATATAAAACATAAAATCCTAAAAACACCTACGTTTTCACTCTAAAGCATTGTGCTTATCACAAGAGGTGTCAATCGGGCGGGTTTGGGTTGGTCTGGGTTGGGTTGAGTTCAATAAGGATTACAGGCTAGTCAAGTTTCGGGTTCATCGGGTTGCAGGTTCATTGGGGTGCGGGTCAGTCGAGTTACGGGTTGATTGAGTTACAGGTCAATCGGGTTGCGGGTCAAATTGTGTTACAGATTTATTGAGTTACGGATCAGATGAGTTGCGAGCAGATCGGGTTACGAGTTTTTCAAGTTAGCGCATTATCTTACTTACTCTTTACTCGTTACAACTTAGTAACTTACATTAAATTCAAACGTTTTTTTCGTAATTTTTAGAAAATTTATTTCTACCCCGTATATGTACTCATAAAAGTTTTTTTGGTAGAAGTACCTATAAAACTTTATAAACTTATCATAAATTAATTTTGTATTCTCTTAGATGATTGAGTTGTAGCAGTCGAATGACTCATTAAACTAAGGTTAACCTTAGGGACGGAGCTAGGATTTGAAGTTGGGGGGCCATCAATTTTTTTTCAACGAAAAATGATGAAATTTTTTTTATTTATTCTTGAAAAATCACCCAAAATAATAGAATTAATTGAAGAAATTTAATTTATACAATAAGGTGAATACGAAGTATAACTGTAGAAATAACATACGATGTTTCAAAGTCCTATACTAGAAATGACTACCTCTAACTCTTGGAAGAAATTACACATTATCTTGGTATTTAAGTTGAAAAATAAGATTTTTAATTAAGTTTTGAAATCAATATAGTGCTACATTTCAAGAGTATGCATATATATTTCAAACAATAAGTTAACAACACTAAAAGTGAAATCAGATCTTCACAAATGATAATTTCTAGATGTTCATTTTAAATATTAATAAATTACATATACACTACAACAAAAGTTACCAACAACAAAGCAAAATGGCCAAATAAAGGGATTACAAATATACTTGAAGAGAAGAGAAGTTAGCAACAATAGAAGTTAAAAGAATTGGAAATAAGGTTCTAATTCAAAAATGAACTAAGAAAAAGCACATGATGGATCGATCCATTGAAGTTTCTTCTTACAAAAAGACCAAATTGATATAAGGGCAAACTCCGCTTGACTAGGGACAAATATTTAGCAATAAGTTGCTATGATCTCTATATCAACGTTAAAACTCTGAAATTTTAGGGGGGGGGGGGGGGGAGGGCATGGCCCCTCCTTCCCCAATGCTGGCTCCGTCCCTAGTTAACCGTCATTTTGAAACCAAAAATGCAAAATGCAACTCAAGCACAACTTAAATGAAAAAAATCTTTACTTCAGAAGTTTTTACTTCAGAAGTTGCAACAAATGTAGAAGTATAGAAAACACGCATAGACAAATTAAGTGAACTTTTATAAAAACAAATTATTGTTGAAACTAATTGTGAAGTTAGTTACTAAATTCATAAAAACAAATCCTATATACATCTTAAGCTTTAAATTATATAACTTCATATCCTAAAAATAGTAAAATTAGTTCATATAATTATATAAAGTACGTTATTTTCAAAAGCTATTAAATTAGTTCATATAATGGGTGCTAGATTATGTCATGTGTACCATAACAGAAGAGATATTTAATTATGGTAAGATGACTCATGATATGTTCTCAAATATATTATAACCAATTAGTCTTGCCAATAAAGCTAAAACAAGGTTTAATATAGACAATGACTTACTAAATGCTAAACTCTTAACTTATAATCGATAAAGATCACATTGGTATATAATTAAGTATATTATCTATTATATAAAATAGCATATATCATGATATGATAACTCATGATATGCTCCCAAATCTACTATATCCAATTTATCGTGCTCTATAAGGCTATAATTAGGTTAACTATAGACAATATTTTTTCACCAGATGTTAAACTCCTAAATCATCATATGTAAATGTAAATATGGTTTTGAACTTTTGTATTTTGAACTTTCCTTTACAAATTGAAAACATGGTTTTATTTAGATTTAGAACAAAAACTTCATTTTCAAAGACTGCATGTTCTATTATACAGTAATTATTCAAGTCAATCGGGCGGGTTACGAGTTAGGTAGGGTCGTGTCAATTGGGTTACATGTTGAATTGGGTTACAGGTCAATTGAATTTGGATTGATCGGGTTATGGGCCAGTCGGGTTATGGGAGGTGCTGGTCAATTGAGTTGACAGATTGTAATCGGATTACAGATCGAATTGATCAGGCAGGTTACTTGGATCAGGTTATGTTTTTGACACATCTACTTATCACTAGCAAATATTTTGGGATGACTCTGTTCAGAGTTTACAAGAAGCCATATGCATGTAGACAACTTTCATTAATATGATATTACGAATCCATCAACTTTTGATTAGTATCCTTTAACTGTGGCTTGAGTTGGTAGATAGAAAAACTTTACCCTTCCAAATAATTATCGCCAGTGGCCGATTACTTGCTTTATGTCGGGTTCTCATCATTTAATTTAAGTATTTGATTAAACTAATTACCTTTATTACTTCTCATCATTTTTAATATTTGGGGTCCTCATACTGAATGCATATGCATTCATCGGTTGGAGACAAACAATATATGTTTCCCCTTGTTCCATGCATTTTGATTGCATCCATATATCCCAACATTTTCATTGAATGCAATTAGCTAGACAAACTACATAATAAATATATCCGCCTAAACAAATTAGACGATCTGCAGTACTCGAGAGTTGTACGCAGGTTACTTATTACTAGTTATTTTCTTACAACCATTTTCTGCCACCTTCAATGCATTCTACGAAGAAGAACTACTTAAACTACGTAAAACTTTACGGCTAGTTGTGTCACTGGTAGAAATGGTGGCCATCCTCGGAGTAATTGCCCAGAAGCTCCTCCAATACGTTATCATCCAGATACTCCAACTCTATCACTTCACCGTCATGCTGCCCCGTGGCGGCCGTGGAAGCCTCAGCCGGTGCGGACCCATAGTGGAAGCTATTCGACGAGGAAGCCACCAATGGCTGCTGCAGGGAGTAACCGCTATTAGCAGGATCCGAACCATAATAATGACCGTGGTGCGTGGCTTGGTACTCATTGGGAAAGTTGAGTATGGCCAAGTGACCCCTAAAGGCGAAGGCGGCTCGGTCGTAAGCACGAGCCGCCTCCTCCGCGGACCCAAAAGTCCCCAGCCATCTCCTCGCCCCGTTCCTCGTCGGGTCCCTTATCTCCGCCGCAAACTTGCCCCACGGCCTCTTCCGTATCCCTCGATACTGCGGCGGCTCTCGATCATCACCGTCTCTCCTTCTTCCGCCGCCGGTTGGTGACCTCCTCCTCGGGGCTACGCCGTCACCATAATTATCATCATCGTAGTTCCTATCCATACCTTGTTGGGTTTGTAAGAACAAAAAGAATTTTTTGAGGGGTATTTAGTTAAAGAAGAGAGACTTCTATTTTGGAAGTCTGTCACGATCGTGGGCTGCTGCTATGTCCATTGAAGGGAGCTAGGCGTCCATATTTATAGGTGGAAATGTAGAAGGAGGAGTCAGCTTTGACGTTCGGGAAAAAATTCAGAGTGGTCTTTGGAGATGTGAGATAAGAGTATTCCTTCGGAGCCTCCTCCAATAATGTTGCGGCCATTGGGCTAAGCGGCTGAAATTAAATTGGCTTCCTTGTTGTGTTTGAATCTGCTACAACAATTCCAACAAATAATAAAATAGAGTGGACCGAGCTTGGTTTCTGGGGTTTTGATTGGATGGGGAGAAAGCAGGTAAAAAATACTTTACTGCTGGGGTGTGCGGTGGAGCCCTGTGGTTGTCCCTTTTGGTATTATAAAATGGAATTTGGGAGATGAATTGGGTCAAATGGGTCACAAAACGTCCTCCAGGTTGTTTTGGCTGAGGTTGTGGTGCTGTCATTGTGCAGTCAAGGGGCGGATACGGGACCATTTCGTGGTTAGGAACTGGTAGTGCTCTGTCATTCTATCGTCACGCCATCGTATATGTAAATATTCTGATTTGTTCACAATGTATAGGCTGATCAGCGTTACTTCTAGCCAAATTACATATAATGTGAGTGTTACACGGATATATACTTGGCACCCATCGATGGATGGGGACATGAAAGAGTAGTGATAATATATTGGTAATTTCTACTATGATTTGGATGACTATCTAGTTCGCTTGGCATTGCAATAATCTACTTTAAATCGTTCGGATTGTGATCGAACCAAGCAAATCAACGTCAAAACAACCCGGATCGTGAGCAACCCAAGCAAACCACCCTAAAATCAATGTGGATCGAGGAGCACAGTAACGAACCACTTTAGTTCATTGAGGACACCCGCGATCTTTACCTAACTTAGGTAGAAACTTCCAACGGATCTTAACTTTTCTCTGTTAACCGATCGTAGAGTATCTTTTTTATTTAGTATAAATTTTCGAGGACTACAATTTTTCTATAGAATTTTTTTCAGAATGTATACGAAAATGCTAAAATTAAAACTAAAGTTATTCTGAAACCCCCTTATACCCAAAAACATTTCCTCTTCTGGAAATTTCTTCCTAGTAAAAGTTAACCTCGTTGAAAATATATGAAAAATAAATTAAAATTTTGGCGATGGTCGTATATGCAAGCTTAAAGTTGTGATCGTCTGTAGTTTGGCAAAAATACAAAAAAATAACATGTTTCGGTAGAAATAAAGTTTTAAGCGAGAAAGGCGGACCAAAGTTACGTATGTTCGAAAATATGCAGAATAAAAAAAAATTCGCTACGATCGCATAACCGAGCGCAAATTTACTTTCATTCGAAGTTTCAACATAAGTTATTGGGGGCTATATCGACGATTTCGTCAGCTTTCAGTGTGGTTCGCTACAGTCACCAGCAATCCACCATGGATTGCGGCTAACAAAAACAAACCAGTTTGGATCGATTTTTCCAAGCGTGATCCATAGAGATTCAAGGTTCGTTCGCTTTGGCTTGGCACAAACCTATTAGATTTGTCACCATCTACTGTAGAACGCTCCAGTGTCAAGCGAACTAGGTAGTGGTTCGATTGACACTAAACCGAAGTCCTACAAATCAAGTATTTTGGGAAATTTTTTTCCAAGAGTTGTATTGTGAGAATTTTTTTTATTAAACCTTGTATTTTGGAATTTTCCCCTTCATCTAGGGGTGGACAACAGGAAACAGGTATTTAGGTATACTCATACCCGTCCCCTTTTTTTAGGGATACAGGTACCCAAATACCCATATTTTTTACGATATAGAACTTAGGATCAAGAATCGCTACTTTGGGTACCCCGCGGGTTATCCATTAATACCCGTTTTGCAAGTACCCATTAGTCCAAAAACCTAAAATCCAACTGTCAACTACTGCTACTCCCAACTGTCGCCCTTGACTACTTCATAGCCGGATTTCTCCCTCAACAGCCGACTGTTAGAGGCTAGAGAAGAGGTACTCTTTCTCTCAACAACCGATTGTATTGGTGTTTTACTATGGGGTAGGATACTATGACTACCCCAAAAGGGGTTGGGTTTTTTACACCCCTCCTTCAGTTGTCCACATGTCCTTTATCTTTGGATGAGTACTAATGATTATTGCTTTATTGGGAAGTTGTCATTATTATTGCTTTATTGGCGAAATTCTCATAATAATGATGCATGGGAAAGTTCCCATAATAATGATGCACAGGAAAGCAACAATCTTTCATCTCCCCTTCTCTTCCTTTCAAATTTTTGTCCACCATAACCCTCCCCTAGCGTCTTCTGAGTCGAACAAACCCTCCCTCCGACGACCCACCCTTCGTCGGCCAACTTCCATCAGCGGCCCAACTTATCGTTGCCTCCCTTTCCGCCGACCCTCTCCCACCCCTCTGTTCCCCTTGACTCTCCTCCTCTGCGACATCGACTTCATCACTTCACGCGACCGGAAATCATCAAAATGATCTGGATGTTTCCATCTCTAACGTCGAGCATATGGAAGACGGCGGCGCTGCCGTGAACGTGAAGCCGATTGGAGACGTCGAGGAACACCAAAACAATCTCAGTAAGGATCTGTATGCATGTCACGTCGACTTCTCCCGCCCGACAATGTACCAGTGCACTGGTATTTTGTATCATTGGAGTGATACAATGCCACTACAATGGTGTTTTTCCTCGGAAAAGGCCCAGACGGACAACACTGGGTAGTGAAGCTGTGTAAAAAACCTAGTTTCTTTCCATTAGGTGGTGTCAATACGGTCGTGCACTAGTATATTTGTATGAATGAACATGTATCAGGGACATAACATGAGTACCAACCCTTAATGTTGTGGTTTTTTGTACCAGTCTAGTGATACATTGTTCAGAGACCAATATTGAAGTTTGTAAACTTGTTTTAAAATTGTTGAGGGAGCAATTTCTAGATGAAATATCGATGTTGACGAGTACTAAACGTTACCATTGCTGCGTAAGATCTAATGTACTTGTACCACTGAACTAATACATATATCACTAAACTGATACATGTATAACTAAGTTGATACATGTACCACATAGATTATGGCCGGAGGGAGTTTACTGGTATTTGTATCATTGAAGTGATATTGCAGTGCTACTCCATTATTGTTTATCATTGTTATGAAAAATATTATTGCACTGGTATTGTTATCACTCCAACTCGTATTTGCCACTTCAAATGTACCACTTCACTTGTATTTTGTATGGGAGAAATACACTATTTCAATAAACAGTATTCCCTAATTCAATGTATAAGCACTCCTTTGAGCAAAATAGTATCATGCATCACTGACTGGACACCAGTACGAGTCTATGTAAATATTCGTGAAGGCGGTCATAGTTACCAGTCTAGTGGTACATGTACCACTAGAAGATTTAGGTTAAATATATGTGATGTGCGTACCACTAGACTGGTACATGTTTCACTAAACAACTTCATGTACTGCTCTTCCAACACAAGTACCAGTGCAATATTGAAGAAAAAAAAACCCAACAACTACCCATTAGTGGCATCACTAACCGTGGAGCACAATCTGTTTGAAAAAACATATGAAATACAAAACAATATTAATGGATCCGGAAAATGTAGCAAACAAACATCAAGATACCAAATAATTCTAGAAATTGTTTCAGGTAAGCATAAACATTGGGGCCATCAGCTGCCTAAGAATGGCTGGATCACTTGGGTTTGAGCACGCAAATATGAGTCGTGCATCTCGGCAGTCTTAACTGTCACCTCCTCAAGTAGGAGGTTCCTCTTGTCATTCTTGCAACCATCGTTTAAAATACAATCAAGATAACTATCATTGTAGTGGTACCTTACAATTAAGATAACTATCAATGCAGTGATACAATGATAAATACAGAAGTAGATCAACTATCACAGCAATGATAGATCAGAACAACTATCGAAGCAGTGATACAAGTACAACCCAATATGTGTAACAAAACTATCAGTGCATACATTTAAATGCATGCAGGCTCTCTAGGAAACTATCGCTGGCGTGATGGAAAACTTGCCACACCAGTGATACCCTTCTAGTGCACGCAGAGTAGCTACCACTCCAGTGATAGAATTACTGGATACCCATCCAAAAACAAAACAAGAAACAACATGCAACCATTTGTGCTACTCTGGCAGACTCACCGGCGATGTGATTTCAACGGCTGCTCAAATGGTATGTTGGTAGATGTCGATCAGAAGAAGTGTTGCGCTGAAATGAAAAATATGGTAGGCTTAGACAGAAGAAAGACCTACAAAAACATAGAAAGAAGAGTAGAAAGAGGAAAATGTAAGGGAGTAAACTTCCTCTTTCACTTGGGAGTGAAATTTAGAGAATTCCCAACTTTAGAGCTCAAAAGAGAATCCTATAAGAGAGGATTTGATATCGGAAGAAGAATCAAGACATCAATCAAGAAGTCAATTCCTTCGCCATCGTTGATTTTTTCTCATTCCGTGGAATAAACTTCCTCTTTCACTTGGGTATGACAAACCCTAGTCATGTTTATTTTGAATTAATGATTGTATGAGTACACCAACTTGTTAAACTCCAAGTTCATATTCAATCGATGCATAATTCATCAATTATCTTTGCCTTGATCAAGTACTGATGCTTTCTTCTTTGACCTAGGAGAGAGAATATCAGATTAGGTTGATTAGAGCAATAATTGATTGGGAATAGGGGTTTGATTGTGCGAAAGTGATTCTACGAACGACTTTGTATTGGGTGTGAATCTATTAGAGGGGATAAAGTTCAAATTTCCTTGGTCGGTTAACTTAGTTGAGGATAGAATCCCTCAAAAAACACACTTAAGAGTGCCTTGAATGCTTTAATCGAGATTAAAGATGGTTGAGGACTCTTTGCATTATGGACAAGGATTACATAATAAGTTAAGAGTACTATTACACCTTGTGACTTGAGGAATACGTGGTGTAGAAAACACAAATAATAATTCTTGATGTCCCTAGGATTGTATTCCACGAGTT